AGTGGGTTCTGGTCTGGCTAGACAGAGTGGCATCGCTCGTGATCTTGGGCGGCTGATCAGCCGCATGGACGAGCAAACCCTACACCTAGTGCCACTCGATGATCCGAGATCCCGTGAAATTCTGAGTTGGTTATTTTGCTGCGATTACATAGCAAGTAGCCTTTAGAGTGCGAAGGGCTGATAGCAAACAGGCTTGTCCGACAAAATTCTCTTCAAAAGAGCCCACAAAAGAACGGGCATCTGAGGTTGGTCTTTGGCCACATGCGATCGATGCCAGAACGACAATTAATGGCCGACGGCTCGTGTGCAGCCACACGTTTGTTTGCTCTCGTACTCAGCAGAGTCGCGGCAAGCCTGTACCTTATCGGAAAGTCCGAACAAGCTACCTGCTTCTCAGACGCCAACGATGGTTGGTAGAAACGAATCTTGTAATCAGGTGTGCGGCGCACGGTGCTCTGGCGTGAGCACTCGGCCCTCAAGGTAAGGTGGGCGTCTACTGCCATGGTCAACACTTTCTGAGCGCAAGCCATGCTTCCACGCCGCGTTCTTTGTCCACCTCGACCTTGGCGCAAAGACTAGTTTACATGACGATTTATACCCATTTTTGCTGTCATATCGCGACACCCGTGTGTCGTTGCAACGCGTTGTGAGATGGTTTGGCGGGTTTGATTGGCTGTCGGGCGATTCTGATTCGCACGCGATAGGGATTGTTGCGTTGATCCAGACCCCGACGGCGTCCAAAGAAACGAAGATCTGTGACCTGGCGAAGGACACGGGCGGCTAAGGTTGGGTGCCGACACGAGCTGTACAATGCGAAAGACGCCTGTGACGACCACGCGAGTTGCCTCCAGCCGAGCTGTCCAAGGCGCGTCGTGGGTGCATCTGCACGCTCTATACAATTGTATGTCAAACAGAGTGCCGAGGTATAGTAGTCTAGTCGTGGTTCTATGCTAGCTCGTTTCGACGTGGTGTACGTTGTGCCTCTCCGAAAGAGTGTGAGGATACGTTGGGTCTGATTGCAAAGTGACTCAATCATGTTGTCTTCCCGAACGAACGCCTTCTCGACGAATCATAGGTCTTTCTCGGTCGTAGCGACGACTTCGTATCGGACACGTAAACGTACTAGGTGTGCCGACGCCGATGCTCAGTTTGCATCGCGTCATGCTAGGCTCTATTGCAGTCGGTGCAGGTCGCGCAATATCGAAACTCGGACTACAGGTGCACGTTTTGTGGTCTACAGCTACTACTAGTCATACGGTAGCTGATGAATCAACTCAGATAGCGGCGATAAATAATGTGATTTCATACCGGAGCTGCTTTTGGTCACCGCAACAAGAATCATGTCCAGTGGAAATGGTAGAGTATTGAAATCGACTTGGTAAAAAATGACTAGCTCGCATCAATTCGGCCGCGTGGGCCAACACACATACGACGACGGCACAATGGTCCAAGCTGCTTAGCAAGCCGGCTTGGGGAGGTACGGCGCAATAAAGTCCTTGGCGTACGAGAGGCGAGCGTACACACCCGGGAGACCCGCCTGGGCGCAGCCGAGGCCCCAGCTCGTGAGACCGACGAGCACGTCCTTGCCGTCCTTGGAGACCGTAAGCGGGCCACCCGAGTCGCCCTGGCACGTGTCCTCGCCCCCGACGCCACCGGCGCAGATCATCGTCACGTCCACGGGGGTCAAACCCGGCTTGTTGAGCTTGTCGAAAGCGGCCTGG